AGTAAAATGAAAAATGAGATCCATTTTTACATAGTACACCAAATATGTAACTGAGTTCTAAAAAAACAAAATTGAGCAAACAAACAGAAAAGAAAAAAAAGGAAGAGAGGAAGAAACAATACAAGTTACAGAGGTAACACAAATAAGCACCTTTACGATTTAAGAGTGGGGAAAACTTAAATGACTATGAATCAAAAATCCCAAAGGATATGGGACACAAATGAAAATACACATGACAACATGAATTTCGTATTACAAAATTTTGTATAAGCCAAAAAAACTATAAGCCATGGAAAACTGGGAAAATGTTTACAACTTAAAATAACAGAACAGGGCCTCTCTGGTGGTGCAACCAGTTAAGACGCAACCTATGAAGCTGTCCGCAGCCTCTGCAGCACAAGTTCGATCCCCAGCTGGCCAGGGAGCAACCCACATGGCGCAGCAGACCTCTCCTGACTCGCCCGCTGCTCCCCTCAGCAGTGTACTTTGGTTATTCTGCCTATTCTGCTCCCCACTCTGTCTCTGGTGAATCCTCTCACCCCCCCATACCTTTGGCTTGTACTCCAGCTCTTGTATGCACAAATAAATCTTTAAAAAATAAACAAACAGAACAGGGCCTCCCGGGTGGCACAGCGGGTTGAACACAGTGCTGTGAAGCTGTCCGCAGCCTTGGCAGTGCGGGTTCAATCCCAGCAGGTGAGAATCCCACATGGTGCCGCAGACCTCGCCTGTTGTGTCCACTGCTCCCCTCAGCAGTTTGTTTCATCAGTCTGCCTGTTCTGTTCCCCACTCTGTCTCTGGTGAATCCTCCCACCCTCCGCACCTCTGGCCTGTACCCCAGCTTTTGTATAAAAATAAATAAATCTTAAAAAAAAAAAAAAAACACAACAGAACATTAGGCAAAACGTCTGAGAGTTGCAAAAAGAAATATAAGTGGTCCTTAGACATGGAAAGGCTCAGCCCCCTTCATAGGAATGTAAACTACAATTTCCCTCTGAACTTGAAGAGGTAGTAGAATTGTTACCTGGAACATGGCAAAACAAGGGCCAAGTCACACATTTCTGGGGTCATTATGTAGTGAGTGCCCTAACAAGGGGAAATAGTCAATATTATATTATATTACATTAGATAAGCCTTTGCCCTTATATTTGACAATACCATTTCTAAGGATATACCAGCAAAGATACATGGGCAAAAACTTACAATAATGGTGCCTGGATGCAGTGGACAGGAGAGGAGGCAACCACACCCTCCTGTGGAGCAGCCCTCGGGACAGCAGCAGCGGGAGTGGGTCACTGAGAGGACATGACCGCCAGCTGACCCACCAGCTGGACACAGGCATTCAAACAGCTCCCTGCTTCACTGTCCTCGGGTTGAGAATTCTGCTTGCCTTGCCAGCTTTCAGAAGGTGCCCCTAGGACACAACCTTGAAACACTAATGTGGTATTGAGACCATATGGATGGTGCATATGACTAAGCCTTGTTAAGGCCACCATATACATTCTTAAGATTCTGACTGGATCTGTTTGTCGTGTGCCCATGCAAGATAAGCCTCTGTATAAATTTTCTTGCTTATTAAACCTGCCACCTACCAATGGCCTAGAGTGGCCTGCCTCTTTCTTTAGTTTTACCCTGATACTACAGGGGATAGTTCCAGATTTCATCAGGAAACTCCCAAAGTTGTGACCCAACATATAACCCCCTTTAAGTAGGGATAGAACAGGAAAACAAATATACTTGGCTTATATTTTAAAAGAGAAACACTGATAGTATAAACAAACACTGATAAAATGGTTAACTCACTTTGGGGCAAAGTACAGTCAACAAAGTGCTTTGCTTCATAGTTTTTACTTTGGAACTATGAAAATGTTTTACAAAATTTAAAAAGCAGCATTAACCCAAAGAGACAATAAATTAAATCTCTTCACAAAAATAAAAAAACAAACTGAAACAATTGAACATGGTTATATAGTAGTTTGGTATTAGAACCACAGAAAACAATTATTTTAACCTGATGTGTCCGAGATGTACCTTAAGGATTAAGAGGACTGCGAGGAATGTGAACTCAGTAGTCTTACTGAAGAAATATTAGTAATTTCAAGATGTATGTGGGATAAAGCAAATGAGTATTTAGTGATGTAAAATAATTAAGACGAGGTCATTAGATTTTCAGATTAAAAGAGATACAATAAAATTTAAAAAGTAAAATCCCTGTAATCTTCAATTTTAGTGAACACAATTTATTTTTCAGTTTAAAAAAGTACATGTCCAGGCATTGCTGATGGAAAAGACTTACAGATGATGTACAAGCTACACATTCTACTAGGGAGAACAAGAGCTCTCAAGAGAATATGTCACTGAGCTGATGCATCTTGTCACAACTGGAATTAAACACTATTAGTGTTGGGTCCAGAGAACACAGGAGCCTCTTGAAAGAGGGCCCGGTGACCAATAAGAGGCAGACTGAGTATCAAGAATAGTACGTTTACCAAACATCTAACTTGCCATTAGTAAAAGATGGCAGAACAAACACCATGTCATTTTTCTGAAAATTGATTAATAAAAGGGAAATATCAAGCATTTCGCACCTTTATAGGAAATCGAATGAGAAGGGACAGAATTTTAGCTAAATGATGGCAGAATAATAGAATTAGAAAATATTTCTGTAACCCCTAGTGAAATACAGAATGTGAGTCCATTTAGCAAAGCTGCCCAACCAGTCCAAGGGTGGGGATGGAAACTCTGTTAGGGAGGCTGGGCCAACCACATGCAAACCGCTTCCCAATCTGCAGATCACAAAGCAGGTCACAATTAGACCTCATGCACCTAACTCTGGAAGCAAGGCAGTAATATTGTTGAAGACCCTCCCCCCGCCCCACCATCCCACCTCCACAAATGAACCTGAATCTAATCAGGTTTCTTTTACAGGAAATAATGGAGACAGAGATGAAAAGCAACCACAGATTGGCGATAAGTAAATGACCTATTTCTTCAACAAACAAAAGATAAGAGAAAAGAAAAATGGACTGGCTGGGGAGACTATTATATTCAGAGAGACTTATGAGGTTTATCAACCCAAGGCAACTTATGGATTCTGATTAAAACTAACAAAATTTAAAGGACTTTTTTTTTGTTGCTTGTTTGTTTTTGCAGCAATTGGGAACTGGAACATGAATTAGATTTTAGATGATAATAAGGAATTCTTATTTTGTTAAGTATAATAATGATATTCTAGTTGTGTGGGTAATTGTTCCATTAACAGCCCTACAATTTGGAATTTATTCCTCAATAAAACTGTCTGCCTAAAATTCTGACTGAAAATGACGTGAATACAAAAGAAGGAAAATATGAAGTTTCTGGAATTAAGAACATAATAGTTTAATTAGCTAGTTCTCTAATTCTGATTGGTAGATAAATATGCAAATTCTCATCCCCTATCAAGATTCTGATTCAAAAAGGATGTCTGTTGAAGAGTCCTTGTTTTTCCAGAGATACACACTAAAATATATTTACAGTTAAAAATTTAGGAAGTCTGATATTTCCTTCAAAATAGTCCAGAAGGTGGGCCGGCCCTGTGGTGCAGTGGTTGAGTGCTGGGCTGCGAAGCTGCCCACAGCCTCTGCAGTGCCGGTTCAATCCCCGGGCACAGGTGAGGGTCCTACATGGCGTGCAGACCTCTCCTGCTGTGCCCGCTGCTCCCCTCAGCAGTGTGCTTCACCAGTCTGCCTGTTCTGTTCCCCGCTCTGGCTCTGGTGAATTCTCTCACCCTCCTGCGCTTCTGACTGTACCCAGTGCTTGTATAAATAAATAAATCTTTAAAAAAAAAATTGTTAAAATAGTCCAGAAGGCAGGAAACAAATGGAAAAAAGAAGGAAGAAGGGAGGGAGTGAGGGAGGAAGGGAAAGAAATAAAAGCAGGGAAGGAGAGGGAAAGGAGGAGGAAGGGGTGAAAATGTGGGAAATAGAAAAAAGATTAGAAAATGGCTGAACTTGGGTAATGAGTAAAAGGGGGTTCATTATACTTCTCTGATGTAAATTTGAAAAATTTCCATAATAAAACAAAACAGAGTTTTAGTTTAGCAGCTTCCAAGGAGCTGTTTTTCAGCAGATCCAGTGTGGGGCCACTCAGACAAGGAAATGGACCAGTCCCATGTTCAGGACATTTGACTGAGTCCATCAGGGAGGAAAACCAGAGGGTACCCAAGTGGGGAGCCTGGAGATGAGAGGACTCAAGCTGAGGGCCATGAGGCTGCAGTAGCTACACCAATCCATCCAGCCTGTCCAACATATGCACCCTGCGCTGCCCCTCCCCTCCCGCAGTGATGCTGAGCTGAGCTATGTCAGTGGCATCTGCTTTGGTCAATGGGAACTTAGTAAATGTAATGCAAGAGAGACTGTAGATGTGCTTCAGCCCTGGGACTGACCTCTCCTACTCCAGGGACTCCACGATGTCCTAAAATGACTACATCAGGCTAGCCTTCTGGAAACATGCCCAGTTACCCTTTCACCAAGGCCAAGGTCACCAGACTTATGAGGGAAGTGCTCCTAGTCAGTGTTACTGAGATGGTGCAAGTAAGAAGAGCCACTCAAGCAATTCCAAGCGAGAAATGATACAGCTTTGTTATTTTAACCCACTAAAGTTTGGGGTTATTTGTAGCAAAAGCCAAGTGATATAATGCATAAATCAAAAGCTACAAGCAAAAATATGTATTGTTTTCCATTTTCCCCACTATCTTATTAATTGAAAATAACTAGCTTGTCTTGTGTTCCTCAGCAGTTTGAATCTTGTCAAAGAGGCAGAGGATGATTATAGTGTGGACAGAGGTGGAATGCTTGCTAGCTATGCCAGCCTGTACAAATCGGCATCTCTGAGATTTCCTCTTCTTTCAGATGGGGTTTATAAGGACAATCTCCCACACTAGAAGCACCAAGAAATGAAACAGATAAAGCCTAGCACACAAAAGCGTTAGCAGACAACAGCTTTTCTGGTGTGCTTCTTACCCGTCTACCAGCCCCTGCTGCTTAATGATCCGGTGAGACTCCTCCCTGGAGATCCTGCCATGGAACCAGTGCTGTGTCTTGTGAATCACTGCAGGAGAGAGAAGGAGGGTGGCATCTTGGTCCCTGTTGCAGAGCAGCTCCCCCAAATCACAGATAACTTGTCATCAGCATGGGGTCCTAACTCCCACAGCTGTACCTCTCATGGTACACTCTGGGCCCAGCAACTTTGTGAAGCTCAGTGAGGGCTGGACACCATTTTTATGTTCCATATGTACAAAGATATGTGGCTAACATGCATATTTACCTGTACTTAGGGTTGAAGGGTAGAGGGGACTTTGGCTACCTAGGATATTCATCCGTGTGCTTCGCTTCTGCAAAAGAAATCCCAGCGTTAGCACTACAGACAGAATGACACAACCTACAAGTCAACATACACATAGTTTTGGGTGGGAGGCCGGGATGGGAGACTTCCTATGATAGGGCCCTGACCTTGGGGACAAAAGTCACCTTAGCCTCTGACCACACATGTCAAAAAACTTATGGGTCATATAAACTCATAAGGGTTAAAAGGGTTAAAAACAAATGTGCATTTTGAATGATCCCCATGATTGAAGAGGAGGCTCTTGCTCCTCACATAGAAGATACACAATGAAATATCTGATAAATTCAAGAAGAACATGAGATTTTCAATGAATTCAGGTGGGTCATTCTAAACCTGAAACACAGGGAACACATTTCCAATTTATAGCTGTGGATTCTTGTTTGGTACACTGTCTCTAAATCTCAGAACAACTGGAAATTTGAGTGATATTCATCCATTGGGAGATTAAGACTCTCTCCATTGAGAGTCAGAGATAGAGAGTTCAAGGCCACAAGCTCATCCATGGTTGAGCCATGATGTGAATGCCTCTGACTTGGCCTCATCAGGCAGGGCGCCATAGGCTTCACAGATGGCCACAGCCCGCTCATCAGCAGGAACAGTTCTGTGTGAGAGCCAAGAGGTCAGAGTAGGCCACTCCTGCTTCCCCCCACGGAACTCAGGGGTACTAGGAACTAGGAGGAACCTACGATGCCAACTGCTTCCTCTAGTCGAGAGTTCAGATGTCACCCTAAAAGACACAGCCATTTATCTGAGGGTTATGGATGCTACCTGGGAGGATGCCTGTTCCTGTGTGACCAGGGCATGGCTTACCCTCCAGGCATGTCCTTCCTCCAGGGCTGCGCTCTGAGCTTCAGCTGGATTCTCAATCACTCGTCCTGTTTGCCCAGAAAAATCCATTGCCACAAGGGAGTTCTCCGAGACACTGCGCTGAAAAGAAAAGGCCACATGTTTTTTAAATGCAGGGGAATAAGACACAGCAGCACAAAGGGGAATCCTGCATGAAACAATTATAAAGATGGCCTGGAAAGGGGACTAGACTGTCCCTCCCCACACCTCCCAACTCTCTAAGGTTCAATTGGAAATTCAGTGCCTGAAGAGCCCTTCAGTTAAAAATGGCTTTCACTTAAGGAGAACAAGAAACTTTCAATCCTCTTGTAATATTCATAGGGCTGAGGCCACCAGGACCAAGAGGATATAAATCCTGTAATACTTCACATGGTACCTAACCTGAGCAAAACATCAGAAACAGGATTGTTAAGGTGAGTCCAGTTCTCACCAGCAGCCTGTTCCTTCTCTTAGTAGCTCAGTTCAGGGAAATATTGAGATTCTGTGGTTAGCATGACAAGTTGTAGGAAAGAACAGTAAAGGATCTTTAAGATCTTATTTTTGAGAGGAGGAAGTGTTTCTATACCTTTGGGAAGTAAAATTTTTCATGAGAAGACAAGAAGAGTCATTATAATCTCTAAATTCTCACCAGTGAAGTACTCTAGCATAAAGTACCCATGGATCCCATAGTTGAAAGATACAAAAGTCAAAGGTGGGGAAGGCAGCTTTGCAGTAGAACTGACAGTTATTGTTGGTGGCTTCTGAGCACATAAATGGAGCCATCTACCTAACCACCATGAAGGATGCATGGGGAGATAGAAGGCAGGAGAATTTTCTGCCAGCAGTCACACTGGAGAGACGGCAAAATCCTTCATGGAAATGGTATGTCACTGACTTCTCTGAAATGTACGTGCTCTCTACGGAGCTCCTCATGGTGATCTTGTTTGAAATGGGACATCCACAGCATGTGCTGATGCAGCAGCTAAAAAGGAATTTAACTTTTGAAGCTCATAGCTTTACTTACCACTGGAGTTGAGAAGTGAGAGAGCAGGGCTTTCCGCTGCTGGGGGATTCTGTAGTTCTGGTAAAGGAGCATTCCATACTGAAGGGGAAAGCAGAGTCAGTGACCAGGCTCTCTGAGACCCCAGAGACTCAGAACATGGCACAACCATGACAGTGAAGGATGTTGCTAAGTAGAGAATGGCCAACGCTCTGCTAGAAGCCTCCATGAACTAAACTACAAAGACCCAACATAGCACCCAACACTGTCTTTCTAGGATTGTTTCTTCGTAGATGGTAACAGCTAAAATGGTTTTGGGGGTATTGAGTGAGCAGGAGAATATCAGAGCAGTAACAGATGTAATAATAAAATCAAGGATAACAATGAACCTTACTGAATGTTTCTATGGGCCCAGTTATATTCTAAGTGCTTTATGTTAAGATTTGATATAATCCGTTATGAAATATATACTTTATATGCAGCTTTTACAAATAGCAAAACTAAATAGAAAAGTCGAGTAATATCCTCAAGGTCATAGTAAAGTTAGGACTCAGGATTTGAATGTACATAGCCCATTTCAAAACCAGTGCTCTTCCTATCCACCAGAGTGACTGCCTACCCAATTCAGTGGCTTATGCTTTGTTTACTCTGGCAATAAGCACTGCAAATTCTGCAAATTCTGGTACTCTTTCAATATTGCAACTATACTCCTCATATGGAAAAGGACAAAAAAAAAAAAAGATCAGGGAGAGCAGAAAAAAAGTTATTCAGTGGACTATATCTCCCCACCCGAAATTCTCCTTTATGTGATGTAACCTTAATTTAAGTTCTAGTGGCTAAAGGAAATGCTTATTTCTAAAACGAAAACATCAAAATATGATAAAAGGGATTTATTCTAGGGATGCAGGTATGGTTCAATATATGCAAAACAATTAATGTGCTATAACACCTTATCAACAAATGGAAGAACAAAAATGTATGACCATATCAACAGATATAGAGAAAGCATTTGACAAGATCAGTGCCTATTTATAATAAGAACTCTTAATAAAACAGAAATAGAAGGAACATAACTCAAGATAATAAAGACCATATTCTACAAACCCACAGCTAATATCATACTCAACAGAGAAAAACTGAAGGTTTTTCTTATTAAGATCAGAAATACTAGGCATCCCCAGTGGCACAGCAGTTGAGCACTGGGCTGCAAAGCTGCCTGCCGCCTCTGCAGCACCAGTTCAATCCCCAGCCGCCATCAAGGGGCCCATATGGTGCACAGACCTCTCCTACTGCGACCGCTGCTCCCCTCAGCAGTGTACTTCATTCAGTCTGCCTGTTCTGCTCCCAGCTCTGGCTCTGGTGAATTCTTTCACCCTCCTGCACTTCTGACTGTACCCAGTGCTTGTATAAATAAATAAATAAATCTTAAAAAAAAAAAGATCAGAAATACTTATCTAAATTCTTACCTAATAAGAATTTCATGAATGGGAGAAGATATTTGCACATCATACACCCAATAGTTAATATCCAAGGTATCCAAACTCAGGCAACTCAACAGCAATAAACCCAGTTTAAAAAATGGATATTCTGATTCTATAGATAGCTGAATAGATATTTTTTGAGCGAGGACATACAGATGGCCAATAGGCATAAGAAAAAAATGTTTATCATCAATCATTATTGGATAAATGCAAATCAAAACCACAACAAGGCATCACACCTGTGAGAATGGCTTACATCGAAAAGAACAATAAAAAATGTTGGTAAGAATGTGGAGAAAAATGAAATTTTTTTACTGAATGCATTTTCTGCTCCAATGTATAAGGTCAATCAAATTTTTACTCTAACTCAGAGTATTGTACTATGGTTATATTTCACCAAATTTGGAAGCAATTTGAAAATATGTTTTCAAATGACACTCAAAATGAAGACATCACATTATATCGTGGAAAGAGCTGACAGCTTAACATTAGTAGATCTTTCACACCTCTGCTACATTCTAGCTTCAATAATTAGTTTTCATATTATTTGGATAAATACCTAATACAGGTATTTCTGGATTATATGGAATTTCCAATTTTATTTTCTTCAGAAATCTCCATGCCCTTTCCCACAGTGGCTGGACCAGCTTGCATTCTCACCAACAGCAGATGAGAGATACTTTTTCACCACAACCTCACCAACATTTGCTGATTAGCCTCTTTTTCACAGGGGACATTCCCACAGGGGTGAAGTGGTCTATCAATGTGGTTTTAATTTCCATTTCCTTTGTAATAAGTGAGGTTTACCATTTTTTCATGTTTGCAGGTCATCTGAAAGTCTTCTCTGTCTACTGAGGTCCTTTTCCCATTTTTTTTTTTTTTAATTGGGTGAGTAGTTTCTTTGTTCCTGAATTGTGTAAGGACTTTGTAAATGTTGGAGATTAACCCCTTGTCACATGTGTGGTATGCAAATATTTCTCCTCCTTGCCTTTTTGTTTTTGTGATAGTTTCTTTTGCGGTACAACAGCTTTTAAGTTTGATGTAGTCCCATTTGTTTATTTTTGCTTTTGTTTCCCTTGCTGTCGGGGTTGTATTCCCAAATATAACTTTGTGTTATATGTCCTATGTTTTTGTCCCCTATATTTTATTTCAAGAACTTTATAGATTCTGTTCTTATGGCCAAATCTTTAAACCACTTTGAATTTCTGTGTATGATGTTCACCATGGGTCTTGCTTTATTTTTTTGCAAGTGGCTATCCATTTTTCCCAGTACTATTTTTTTTTTTTTAGATTTATTTATTATTTATACAAGCACTGGGTACAGTCATAAGTGCGGGAGGGTGAGAGAATTCACCAGAGCCACAGCAGGGAGCAGAGCAGGCAGAAGGACCAAAGTACACTGCTGAGGGGAGCAGCAGGTGGCAGGAGAGGTCTGCGCGCCATGTGGGACCCTCCTCTGGTGGCCGGGGAGCAGCTGGGGATCGAACTGGCGCTGCAGAGGCTGTGGACAGCTTCACAACCCAGCGCTCAACTGCTGCACCACCGGGAGGCCCCCAGTACTATTTGTTAAAAAGGCTAACTCTTCTCCATTGTATGACCAAGGCTACTTTGTCAAAGACTGTCCATATTTATATGGATTTATGTCTGGGATTCCTAATCTATTCCATTGATCTGAATTTCTGGTTTTTTTTTTTCCCCCAGTACTATACTGTTTTACTTTTTAATATTTATTTTATTTATACAAGAGCTGGGGTATAGGCCAGAGATGCGGGAGAGTAAGAGAATTCACCAGAGACAGAGCAGGGAGCAGAACAGGCAGATGGACCTAAAACACTGCTGAGGGGAGCAGTGGGTGAGACAGGAGAGGTCTGCTGTGCCATGTGGATATCTCCCTGGCCGGTCAGGAATTGAACCCATGTTGCAGAGGCTGTGGACAGCTTCACAGCGCTGTGCTCAACCCCCTTTGCCACCGGGGAGGACCAGTACTATACGGTTTGGATTACTGTTGCTGTGTAATATAATTTGAAGTCATAAAGTATGATACCTCCATTTTTCTTCTTTTTTCTCAAGACTTTGAGCTATTCAGGGCCTTTTGTGGTTCCATATAAATTTAATAATTGTGTTTCCTTAAAAATGTCATTGGTATTCTGATAGGTATTAAGTCTGTAAAATGCTTTGGGTAATATGGCCATTTCAATGATGTTAATTCTTGTAACTCATGTGTAAAGGACCTTTTTCCATTTCTTCTTTTATTTCCTTTAACAGTTTTATACTTTTCATAGCATAGGTCCTTCATCTCTTTCATTAAGTTTATTCCCAGAGATTTCATTCTTTTTGGCACGATTGTAAATGGAACTATATTCCTTATTTCCCTTTCTTCTGATACATAGTTTCCATATAGAAATGCCACTGATTTTTGTGTACTGATTTTGTATCCTACCCCTTTATTGTATTCATTTACTATTTCTAGGGGTGGGATTCCTTTTATGTCTTTTTCTTTCCTAATTTCTTCAGCTAGGACTTCTAGAAGTATGTTAAGTAACAGTGGTGATAGTGGGCATCCCTTTCTTGTTCTTGATCTTAGTGGTAATATTTTCAACATTTTATCACTGAATATGATGTTGGCTGTGGGGCTATCCTATAGACATTTCATAATATTTATGTGGGTCCCATTTTTTGGGAGAGTTTTTATCATAAATGATGTTGGATCTTGTCAAATGCTTTTTCAGCATCTGTTGAGATGATCATATGCATTTTGTCTTTTTGTCTTGTTCAAATGGTTTTGATCTGGTGTGTTGAAGTCTTCAACAATGATTGTGTTTTAGTTTATGTATTGTTTCAGAACTGTTACTAGTTGCTTTATATAATTAGGTATTCATCACTATGGGAACAAATATTAATAGCTGTTATATCTTCCTGGTAAATTGTTCCTTAGAAATTACACAGTGTCCACCTTTATTCCCGATTACCTTTTTTAGTTGAAAGTCTAGCTTGTTGGATATAAGAATAGCATTTCCTGATTTACTCTGAATTATGAGCAGGTATGCAGCCCATTATTTTTTGTTTCTTTTAGTCTTTCAGTTTTAAAATGGGTCTCTTATAGACAAAGTATTGATGGTTAGAATTTTTTCACCCACACTGTTAGCCTGTATCTTTTTACTAGTGAATTCCAACCATTCACATTCTGTTTATTGATATGAACTGTTTATTATCATTTTGCTTTTGATTTTTGTTCATTTTTTTATTGTTTCTTTTCCCATTTGTTTATCTCTGCTCTTTCTGTATGGCTTCCTTAGTATTTGTATCAATTTTTTTGCTTCTTTGACTGTGGATGTCTATTCTGTGTTTTTGGTTAGTGCACTTAAATTTGTATGTTTTAGGTCTTTTATGAGCTGGTGTCTGTTCTCTGACATTTAACCACACAAGTTCTTCCCATTTCTTCCTCCCCCTTAGTGTTTTGCTATTGACTCATAGGATTCTTCTTCATGAGTCCAGTGTTGTATTATTATTGCCACTTTGCGCAGGAGTTTGTGTTTCAGTTTTTCTTTTCCTTAGAACTCCTTTTAGTATTACTTAAAGAGTGGATCTGGTGGTGGCAAAATCTATTAGCTTCTCTTTGTC